AGATAAAACCATTTTGTTACGCAAAGTGTTGCCACTGCTCGCTTTTAAATCTTAGAGTTTGTTAATCAAAAAATTTATTAATGTTTTAAAGAACATAAAATATAAAATTCGAAATTCAAAATTCGGTCTTCCAGGTGCCCATGTTCGAGTAGAGGAATACGTTATTCAAAATCTGATGGCTTTAGGTACCACCATTTTCTCACATTGCGAGGAATATGCATACATACATATATGCAGATTCTTCCTTTTTTTAAATTTTAAAACATAATACGGGGAGATAATATTTGGTGATAAAAATCTGAAAATGGTTCGCCATTTATAGTGAACCGGCACAAAATTCTATTTCGAGATTAATATCCCTTTATGAGTTAAAAATTAATACTTACGCAAAATAATACTCTCATCAAAGATAATAATAACTATAATATATAACAAAACAGGATTATGACTCGCCCATTTAATTTTCTTAGCATCTGAACTGCTATAAAAGCTGATATTACCGGAACAAAGACATACTTGAAATATAAATGTCATTAGCCTGAGTCATAAGAAAAGAATCATCAAGTAATGAAAGCAAAATGTAAATCAATAATGGTTTGAAACAAACTACTTATTCAGGTAGAGATGTTTTGGATTTAAATTGGAGGAAAATACTAAATGAGAATTTGAAACGAATAAATAATGCATTGGAAAAGAAAAGAATACTGTGAAATTACTTTTCGACGACCTTTATATGCATACATAGTAGTAGATGATTTTTTTTGAAGCGAATGGTATGTTGTTGCCATATTCAATATAGCAGACAAAATGGCCGTACGTCGAATAATATATTAGAGCATGTGATCACTTTACAGTCGAAGAATAAATTGAATTTTCTAATTTATTTTCTTGTAAATGTATTTTTTATTTAAGAATGTAATAAAGAATTAATATTTTAGAACTTAAACGAGAAGTAACTATTACATAAATTTTCTGATAAATTGTACCAAGAAACTGAACCGCAATAAAAAAGGAAGAAACCAATTTTCATAAATGTAATTTATTCCATTAAAGAATAAAATTATTCCAGGAAATATTCAGTGCTACATTTGCTGTGGGATACTTGATTAAAAATAATAGAATTCAATTTTTTAACCGTACAGTAATTTTAAACATCGCAAGAAGAATGAGCAGTGATTTTCGAAAACATAATTAAATTGCATTTAAAATGTCGTGAGATAACAAGCTGCTCTATTTTAGATCTTAAGCTATATGTATTGACTAAGAAACGCATTCTTATTTAAATATTTTCTCCTAACTTTCCTAAAGTGTTTTAACTATACTATAGCTTTTACTTCTCGTTTTCTCCCCAAAAATGTAAATGAGTTAGAGTATTTAAGCTGAGGTTTTTGGATTGTAAGAGCAGAGCATGGTTCTTCCTCTCGAGGCCACGTTACTTTAGTTCTGCCCTCTTCTGATAATTCGGTTTTGCATTATTTGCTGACAACATTTAAATTGTTACGTCGGTTAGAATTTTGAACTAACTCCGATTTAAATGTAATTGTTTAGTCTTTGACTAGTCGAGTTTTTGACTGAAAATGAATAGCTTCTTTTATCAGAAAAAATGAAAACATGGGAAAATACTGTTAGAGAAATCCAACAAAATAACTCGTGTGGAAATTTTATTTTGTTGAGAAAATGTAGATAATTGCTTTACCGAATGAGGTACATGATTTTAATTCTCAAATGAGAAAATTTTAATCCTCAAATGACAGCTTCAAAATTCTCCAATGATAAGAAGTGAATATTTATGGAAAACAAAATAACCTTCTGAAGCTAAACAGAATTACTTCATATTAGAGTTCCCTCTGCAGTATTATGTTTATCTTCGTTTTACAGTGATGGATTCCTTAAATGTCCTTTCGCATTTTATACGTTAAGTATATTTTGCTCTTTATATTAACTTTACTTGCACTAAAGAGAGGTATAAAAAATGTTTTTTATTATTGCGGAAAATGAAAACCGGAAATGAATGCGCTGAGTATGTTTTATCTTCGATAAAGCCAAAAAAACTCTAAAAAATATTTTCCCATTAGAATAAAAATTGTATGGCAAGAGGATGTTAATTAATTGACTGAAGAATTATGTAACTTCACTACAGACATTATATATTCATCCACTACAGACATTCATTTACACTTTCATGAGTAATTCAAAGGCTTGCAAAATATATATCATTAATGAATACTTTTCTTGACAGTAAATATATTTCTTTTAATAATGATTTCGTCTTCGGAAATCATAATAACAAATATTCGTACAATTCAGAGATAAATGTTTAACGATCTTCCCAAAAGGATTTGTTTAGGTTTTTTGCGCTCTCGCTGAGCCTGCAGTACACTAGACTGCTGTAGCACTCACTCCTGCTAATCCATTTCTTTTTGTCTTTTTAGCTTTATAATTGAGCATAATTTTCTTCGTACTTACGCCATATACAATTCAACAGCAAAATTACAAATGTCTTAAAAGCAGCATACATTTGGAATTCCTAATTCAGTGTTATGTTGGCATACTTTTTTCTACTTTTTCAGTCTTTAAACAATTTATTATATGAATGTTCAGTTTTCTTAGTAAGATGGGTTGAAAAAAACTTCTACTTTTTTTATCTTTCAATTATTAACGTTTCGTACATTAACTTTATTAAATATCATGTTCTTTGCACATGCACCACATAAATTCAATTCAACAGCAAAATCACAAAGTATTTAAAAATCGGATTTTCTTTAAAATTTTCGGTATACAGTCTCGCTCTGGAGATAAAATTTTTTATTCCGTACAGGGTTGCCACTGCTAGCTTTCAAAGAGTTGAGGTTGTAAATAAAAAGTTCATTACAGTTTTACAAAATAGGAAATATAAAATTGGAAATTCAAAATTCGGGCTTAAAGGTGCACATGTTCGGATGGAGGACTACGTTATTCAAAATTTGATGACTCCAAATATCGTCGTTTTTTCACAGTACTAGGAACATACATGCATGCAGATTATACATTACTTAATTTCTTCAAATTTCAAAATAATTCAGGACGATAATATTTGGTGGCAAGAATCTGAAAAATGATACAGCCGTTATAGTGAACGACGCAAAATCCCGTTTCGAGATTGATCGCCCATTCAGGCAAACGTTCTTTTCACTGAAAATACAGAATATCTAAAAATGATACATGACGTTTTAATTTATTGTTAAAACTACTTTGAAGCAAAAAAATACTGTTCCATTTGCTGAGAAGTGATTTTCTCTTTTCCTTTTATAGTGCCAATTTGAGACATTTTGCCTTTTTTTTTTTTTTTTTTTTTAAAATTTTTAACAATCATGCGCATTCGAATCTACAGTAAATATATTGTTGATGTTTTAGAGACATGAAATCCGACGAAAATATCAGACAAAAGTTCGAAGTTAATTATTACAGAAATTCTCCATCAAGCAAGCATTCATTATCAGTCAGAGTTCACCATAATAGTACTTGTAAACAGAGATCTATTGAAGAATAAGCAGACGTCAGATATAATACTTGATATCTGAAATATTTCTTTTCATATTTTTACAGATATAATACTTGATATTATAAGGTATTTTCTTCCTCCTTTCAGCATGCCTTCGTGGTGTAATGGTTAGCAACTCGGCGCCTATTCGAGAGGTCCAGGTTCGAGTCATGACAGGGGCATTGCACATTTTTCACTCCTCAAGCTTCAAAATAAACTAATGGCTCTACAATATTTTAAAATATCGTGGTGGCATTTGCAGTTTCGACAGTATAAATCACAATTTGTTCGCTTATGGATCGTTTTAAACATTATTTCAGAGAAAACTCTTGGAAGCATATATTCTAAAGAACCTTATTAAAAGATTCAGTGCGTGTCTATGTAAATGTACGTCTGTGACTATGTGCAATCTAAGTGCATCATCATAAATTTTAAAAGGCAAAACTGACGAATAATTTTTGGACACTTTGCAAATAGTTTTGCACAATTATGAGTGGCCCACATTCACCTTTAAGGCCACATGTGCCCTTTTGAGACCAATAGTTCGTACATGAGTAAAGTCATTCATAAGTTTTCTATTGTCTGTTTTGACAGCCTAAGCAAATGAACCATACCTCATAACAAAGATGAAAGCAGTCCACTAACTTTTACTAAACTAATGCTACTGGACGATATGCTGTCATATTACGCAAACCTCACATTCTACGTCGTTATTTTGTATGCGCTATTATTCCTTTCACAAGGTAGTGCTCACAATTGTATTTTATTTTTTTGCTGATTACTCTATAACGCATTATAAAGTCTCAATCGTTTGGGAAGTATGTACTAAGTCGAGACTCTCGAAGAACTAAGCGAATTATGGGCATGTCTTGCATGAAAACTGAGAATGTAAGAAGGGTATAAAAGTCCCTTTTATTAAAACTCAAGTAGAGCAACAGAAGGCACTATTTGTGCTTACAAAAACCCACCAGGATTTATGGTGTAACTGAAAAATAAGGAATTGCAAATTAAAACTAAGTTGTACATTTGGAAAAGACACACTGAGACGCACATGTTGGTTCAAATCTATACCAAGCACTGTTGGCGACGCTTTGAGAAAACCTAAAATCTCTATCAATGTATTTATAAACTGAAATTTTCTACAAAAATCTATGAGTTTCTTGAACCCACCCTGAAAGAATCTCAAAACGTTTACCCCACGATTAATCTTTGCGTGGTTGCATAACATCTTACTTATAAGTCAGAAATGCTGTTTGCTTATTATAAAATTCTAATTTTACATATGCTCGATTAGAAATAGAGTTTTAAGGTAGAATAAGTTCAAAACGGGCGAGTGTTGGATACTCTTTTTTTTATAATACCGTAAATTTGAAGAAATAAAAGAAAGATATCAACAGTTGAACATATAAATTTGCACACAAGCACTTTGCAAAATTATATTAATATATGCCACATTTTCAACTGATGCTATTAAACTTACCCTGCACTTTAGTTGCAGAACATTCATAGCTTTCGGATTGCACATTTGTTTCTTCTGCTTGATTTCTTCGTCATCCTCCTCCAACTGTTGATGCTTGTGCGCGATGGAGAGGGCCGCGAACTGTGTTGGTTTATGGGTTGCGGTCTTCTCCATCTCTTCCTCCTCGAGCCGCTGTTTCAGCATCTTTTGACGTAAGATATCGCAACGAAAGACATCACAGTAGTCATCAAGGCACACCGTCTCCTCCGTCTGTAAAGTGGAGAAAACATTACGATAGACTGCTTTAGGAGTGTTTAAATTCAAAATAACCAGAATGAAAAACTGCAAGCAAATATTTCGTGTTTATGGAAGTATAGCGAGGCTGTGTTAGCTTAAGAATTCCACCGCCTATTTGCAAAGTGGTATCAGTCTGTGTACAGGGGTTCGCCTTCCATGCTGAATTTTGCGTGTTGCTATTCTCAGTGTCCTGTTCGTTTTGTGAGGTGGGACTGCAAGAAACAGTAGTGTACGTCTTTTTTAGATCACAGGACGTTAGGTCAGAAGGATCATTAATTTCGTTTTGGAATTTTGCGTTGAATTAAACGCCCATTTCACGTTTAAAATTGTTGCCACCAAACATTATCACCTTGTGTTATATTTAAAGAAATTAAATAATGAAGAATCTGCATAACATGTTTCTCGCATTGTGATAAAACAACGGTACCTAGAGCCATCAAATCTTGAATAACGTACGTTTCCATCCGAATATGGGCATCTGGAAGCCGTAATTTGGAATTTGTTTTCTTATCGATTTCATATTTTGTAACACTTTAACGAATTTCTGATTAACAAACTCCTCAACGATTTCAAAGCGAGCAAAACAACACTGTACGAAAAAAAAAAAAAAAAAACTTTATCTCCAGCGCGCGAGACTGTGTATCGGAAATTCTAAAGATATTCTCTTTTAAAATTATTTTGTGATATTGCTGTTGAATTGAATTTTATGGTTTAAGTGCGAAGCACATGATATTTAATAAAAAAGGTAACACACAAAACGTTAAAAAGTCCCCCTTTGGGTGTAAAATCTTTCAAATTTTTGCAGTGTTTTTACTTTACTTAATTGTTTATTTGTTTGCTTGCTCACGAAATACTTATTATGCTTCGACACATCTTTAAAGACGTTGCCTTAATAAATCACATGTATATGAGTAGTTTTACTGATTCAAAATTGCGAAATGTTTAAACGAAAATTGTTATGACTTAAACATCCACTGACGAACAGAAATAAAGAAATTACCAAAAAGGGGCGATTTACTAATGAAGATCGTAGAGAGATCATTCGCCAAATTTGTGAATAAATGCTATCTGATAGTTCTTGGGAAAGAATAACACTTTGACTTAACACACTAACGCTGTTCACTAATTTAGTTTACTTACCCTGATTTTTTTGAATAAAGAAATATTTCATAAAGCAACTTAGAGTATAAAAAAAGAAATTCAGTTATATGAATTAGGCATGAAATATGTTCTGCTTGTCTTGAATAATATACATGCCGAGACTTCCAGAACTTTTTCCGTGTTTCCAGACATGGGCAAAATTTTGGAAAAAGTCTTTTAGTGCTGATGCTTTGGTTTGGTTTATTTGATTAAGGCAAAGCACACTAGGCCTATCTGCCTTAGGAAGGAATGCCTTTGTGGAGGACTTTTTAAGAGAAACTAGCTCGTACACGTGGAAAAAACTACGAAAACGCCTATGCAGCCAGAACATTCAGCTGGAATTCAACCCAAGTCGGAACTACCAGTCTTTAGCGACCGAAGGCAACATTAGCTCTCAGTTTTGAGTTCAAAGCTAATTTCGAATTATTGAGAGACAGTATGAGCTCGCTGTTTGGATGAGCTTTGTGTTGTGTTTAACATTTAAAGTTGTAACTATTGACTACACTCTGCATACCGAGAAGAGCTGTATGAGTATTTTTGTGGAAAGTTCTTGAACTGTAAAGTGTTTCTTTTGGTAAAATAAATTTTATCTAGCTATCATCAGTTCTGTGTGAATTCAATCCAATACGAGCACCTACGCCCCTAATAGTATCAATGACATGAAAGAAAGAATTGACGTCCGTAATAAACGGATTCTTATAAAAGAAACTGCTTATGGTTTAACCGTTAGATAATTAACAACACGGATTCATTGGCGAAAGAAAGAAACACTTACCATTCCCATCGTTCTTGAGTGGGAGGCATCCCAGTGTGTCACAAAAGTATTCTCACATCGAAATTTTTTCCCGCAGACGGGGCAATGCCATGTTTCTTCTCCCGCAGTCTTTGTTGCTTCCAGTTCCGTCTGAAGCCACCAGAACATGTCCCTCTTGGGATGTAAGGGGCATTCCAGAGGCAGAGATACTCTGTATCGTTCGACAACTGGTAGAAAACGCTATACATAAAATACAATAATAATGGATGAATAAAATATATACCAAACATAATTTTTAATTGTTAATAATATGGAAAGTAAATGTTAAAAGCTTTTATGAAAACGAGTGACAAAGTGTCGTTTCTTTTTTACTAGCTAATGTATTTAGGAACTAATGTCAGATATCTAATTATTTTGTAATTTATTACAAGAATACCAATTTATGTCTATAAGGTGCATGTAAAGAAGAAAAAACACTGTTAAAAAAAAAAAAAAAGTAGTTTTATGTCACCTGCTCTACTATGCCGATTGAGGAAATTTAAATTGCACTTTTCATATCTCGAAAGCGCGATTTAGGATATATATTAGATTTATATTATGAGTTATTTATCCCGCCTTCTTAGCATGTCTTCATGATGTAGTGGTCAGTACGCGCGGAGCGTAAAAGTCACGGCGAAGGCATTGCTCATTTTTCATTTCTCCTACTTTAAAAAAATACGTACGTTTCTACAATACGTACGTGATAATGTTGTTCTAATATAGGTATTTTGACACATCGGACTATTTCTTATAAGACATGCCAATTTTTTCCTATATTTCAATGACTCACATTGTGCCAAAGTGCCAAGTTTTGTAAAAATCACACGAGTAGTTTTTAAAATATTAGCTACTCAGTATTAATTGAAATTGGAATATATTTATTCAGATCTTCTTTCTCATTGAAATTATTTGATTCCTTCTTTCACAATTCAAAATTTAGGTTCAATCCAGAGAAAATTAGTAGCTATTTGATTCGTTTTTAAAAATTATGTTGTTTTAGTAATTTTGAATTATAACCTATAAAGGTTTTGCCATCACCTTAAAAAGATGTAGTTTTGGTATACCTGCAAAAATTTAATTCTCTAATTTTAATTTTCGGTGCCTTGAATTTGAGCTGCTTTGCATTTTTAATGCAGTGGTCTCTTTTTCTTCAAGTACAATAATAAAGAATGCAAAGGCTTAAAAAATAACCAAATTTATACATATATGTGATTATTAATAATCATTATATTATATTTAGATCTCCTAAGCTAGTCATCATTATCGTCAATTTAACAAATGTAAAATTAAATTTTTTAAATAATTAAAATTAACTTGAAATGGATTTTAAGATGCATACTTCTGTAACAAAACGAAATTTATAAATCAAATAAATAGTAATGGATTTAATATTATTAGCAGTTTACTCACATCAGACATGCAGTGTAGTGTTATGTCTGACTTAAATTGTAGAATGCATTCAGTTTTCTCTAAAATGAAACAAGAGTGAGTGAGTGAGTGAGTGAGAGATTATGGCGCAAAACCAAAGATGATTATAGTGCGCCAAACACGTGATGGAAAAATGAAACAAGAAATTAACCGAATTGTGTAAAAGTTATTTTTTATAAATGTTAAGCGAAATTTAATCGAAAATTTTAACATACGCAATGAAGAAAGGAAAAAAAGAAGCCATGTATTGAATTTTACGTGGTAAAAGTGATAACAAAAAATTGAAAACAGCTCGCGTTTTAGAAATATTTTTAAAAATATTTCTTGATTAGAATATTTCTTGATTTTATTAGAAATATTTTTTACAATATAATAAAAAATTAAAAATAGCTCGTGTTTTAGGAATCATTTTTTAAAAATATTTCTTGATATTCCATTTCCAAAATTTATACATCCCTTAAATGAGTAATTTCACATGAAAACTCTTAGTCTAATAATCTTTTATTTTTTTTTAATCAATGCGTGTACTAAAATTCTACTTTGCATTCTACTTTGCATTTATAAACAACCCTAATGTGCATCTTGAAAAGCTGATAATACATTGAAACTAATGAATATTTTATAGCTTTATCCCGAATCTCATTTCAGTAAATTTGCTTAATAATAAATTAAAAAAAAAAAGATCTTCTTCTGAAAAAGCGAGTAGTTTTTAGAGAAAATGCATTTCCAAGCTAAAATATTAATACTTTAGGAATTTAAGTGAGAAAAATTTAAAAATGAAAATGTCACTTTAGTTTTTATAATTAAATCTATAATCTATAAAAAGGTATTAATATCTTAAATTGAACGTAACGAATGCAAGTTTATCTGCGAGGCGTGGATAAAAAACACGATTCAAAAAACAAAGTCATACGCATATAATCCTGACCTTTTCTGCTTTTCTGCAGAGAAATAAACTGTTGGTAATCACAATCTCGAAAGAATAATTTTCTTTTTCTTCGCTCCCTTTTATAGAATTGGTAAATTGAATTTGCTCGAAGAGCGTTCTCAAGAGACTTCTCATTTAAATGCATATTGAGTCATAGGGCTGAGAGAAAAAAAAGAAAAGAAGATCTAAGGAAAATTAGTTCAGACCAAACTCACGACTCGCCCATTCATATAAATAAATGCATTTCGCTTTTAATGCTATTTCTTCATATTTTTCTATTTATCAAATGAAAAAGCGTCTTTTTCATTTCTTATTTAGAGCGATAGGGGTGTAAGTAATTTGGACTTAATTTAAATTCATTTCGAAGAATTTCAGTGTTTTATGTGACTAGCTTAAACTGAAATCTAAAATATGTACGTTAAAAAATTTTTTTTCTGTTTTCTTGTTTGCAGAACTAATACCGACATACATACAAGCATCATGGAACAGTGCAAATTATTTTTTAATGACTTTCATTACATGTTGTACGAGCAATACATGTTTACATATGTACTAAATATACCTATATGATTTCAATATATATAATCACAAATATATATTTTCAATATATACTAAAAAAACTCATGTAAATCGCTCTGAGGGGGTATATACATGCATATGTTTCGGTTTACCCTTAAGATAATTACTTATGCAAGATTATAATGACGCATTTGAAAGAAGAAATAAATAAAATTGTAGCCTTTCTCGTATAGGAAACAAAAACCTGCACATATAAGCAATAAAACCCAAAGAATGTAGTTTTAGTTTTTTTTTTTTAAATATGCCATTACATATTTATTAATATTTCAGCAACTAAACGCGAGCATGTAATAGTAATGCTGTTTTCCATTGATTAAATTTTCGTTCAAAATGTCAGTTTGTACTGCTGGTTCTTACTGCAGAGTTGATGTTTTGTTAAGCATATGCATTGAAAATAAATATATGTCATTTCATTCTGTATTTCTTTATAATTAAATAATATTAGAACACCTACTTATATAGTGTATATATATGTGTGTAATTATCAATGCTCCTCAAATATATCAAATTTTCTGACTTCTGTTTTAAATTAATATGTTTTAATTAATAAATGAAGATAAGATAAAATATGTGCTTGAAAATTTTAATAATGCATAGAGAAACATTTTAAAAGTATTTTATAAATAGATAACGCACATTAAATATTTTTCTAGGTGTATTCTCTGTTCTTATTTAGGTAAGTAAAGTAACTAAAGTATTTTTTAGGAAAAGAGGAAAACATATATTTTTCAGTTTCTAAACAAATATGATAATAATAATAACTTAAAATTAGTGAAAAAATTTAATATTTTCTTTTTGAATTTAGAATCATGGTTTAGATTCTCCAAAATTAATTTATGCTCTTGTGTTTTAGTTTTATCCTATTTTATCCTTGCTCGGTTTTTTTTTTCATTTCTTGAACTAGTATTTCTGGATAAAAATAGCATACAGAAAAACTGTATATCCTTTTTTTATTAACAGTCATTTCTAATGAGCATCAGTTTCCTTTCTTGATAATATTTAATATCTATTCCGTTTTGTGGAATAAGACTGATAATTGTAATACAGATTTATTGTCCATATTTAGTTTTTTGTGCAATGTTTTGAGCTTCTTTGAGCTCCAGCTTATTAGAGTATTGTTTCCCTTTCACTTAGCTATGAACTATCATGAATGCCTTTTTTTAAACATTTGAATAAAAGGTTGAATATCCTTAATGCTGTCTTGTTTCGTGTTTCTTTTTCAAAAATTTTAGTGGTAGCTTAAATTTATGACTGCGGAAAGACAAACAGGATCGCATATGGTCATCTAAAGCCTGCAGATTGAATCTACAAATTAGCAAATGAACTAAATCTAATAAAAAGATTAGTGGTTGCTACTGAACATTTTAATCATTTGAAAATATAAAACAAAAATTGACACTTCAGTGTGCTACTAAAACTTATATTACGATAGAATGCTGCCACAATAATTTATAATTTCGAATAAATATTTAATTACTAATTTATATAATATTTAACGTAACAATAAAACAAGTAAATTCTGTATTTAAAATTTAAACTCGAATTTAGAACATGGAGGTATAAGAAACAATAATTTAACATTGATCAGGAAATTAAATTACATACCTATGAGAAAGAAATTATAATAACACTTTAATTTTTATCAGTAATCCTATTTAAAAACTCAGTATGTGACCTGATTCATTGTTACTCTAAGTGATATCTCACTCATTTGCTCACAAATTTTTCTGACCTTTCAATTTCGATGACGGTGGACATCATCAAAATAAAGCATTTGTTAGCACTAAGAATTTTCCATTAGTAAAGACATAATGCTTTCCGACTATTTCATTGACAGAACGTTTTATTTAACAAGAGCAGGTACATTTGTTTCGCATTTTGTGTTTGTCTAAGATGAAACTTGATTACGTGCATATGCCAGAGACAAAATATATTCCCATGCATTTTCAAAGAAAAATAATCAACAATAATTGGTTAAAAATTGAAGCTTTCCAAAGACGAATGATTTAGTCCTTCATGTATCTCAGGCAGAAGGAAACATATTATTTTTCCTTATCTAAATTATTCAAAATTTATTAATAGAAAACATTTCTGCAGACATAGAAAAGAATTACACTCACATGCAATTTTTCGCAAATATGAAGGATTTTAGGAAGTTTGAATGAAGCAAAGATTAGTTATCCATAATACTGGAAGAATGTTAGCAAGTGCTGTGTGCTTAAGATAATTACATTCAGTACCGAGAAGAAATAACAAAATAAAAGCA